TCTAGGAGGCTATTGAATTTAAATTTCATTTTTAATATTTAGTTCTTATTTTTAGTTATTTTTAGTTATTTTATTTTTCTTTAAATAAAAAATCTTCCACTCGATACTCATCACTTTAAAATTTGTTACAGCCTGATAGTTTTTAGTAAATTTTATTACAATACTATCTCTTGAAGCTTCTGTATCCTTCTTTATTTTTTTTTCTCTTGTTTCTTCTGTTTTATTTGATTTGTTTGTAAGAGTTTAGTTTATGCTTAATGAAGAACTTCTTTGTTGTATATCTTATAGTGTATTAATATTAAGCTCCTTCATTTGGCCAATGATTTCATTTATCATTTGGATTGGTTTTCTTTGTAGTATTTTTTCTCTTACTACATCTTAATATTTTTTTTTGTTATTAACATTTGCATCTTTTTCATACTGTTCAGTTTCTTTATTTCTTCCATTTTTCTCTCTTCTTTAAGTATTTCTTTTTTATTTATATTTGTAATATATTCAACTAACTTTGGGTTCTGATTCAACAGCCTAAGTCTTTATGTCTATTCATCTATTATATCTTCTTCGAGTCAGCTTAATTCTGCTAAACTCAAGGCTTTAAGAATTTGTCCATAAAGTAGTACATCACTTAGTGTAATATGGTTTGGGTTGTTTATTGCTAGGTCCTTTGCTATATGCTCTACATTGCTTGATTTTTTTGTAAGTATAGTTAGAATTTGATTTAACAATTTAGAATTTAAGTATCTTCGATTTTTATCACCTGCTCTCTTAATATAGTACATAATGTCTATATCAATAGCCTGATCTATTTAATTTATTCATTGAATTTCTATCTTGTATGATTTCCTCTTTGAGTTATCTACATGCAATCTGTGTTATGTTACTATTTACTAATAACTTATCTATCTATTTCCTAATTAGTAATATAACTTTGTTGTTTGTTGTTATTATTTAGTCAGTTACATGTTTTTCTTTTGTTTTTTAAAGTCAATCATGATTTCTCAAACTTTTAAGTTTTATACTAAAAAAAGGAAAATTTTTCTAAAAGCAAGTTTAGTTTGTTAAAAATATCTTTTCTATTGTTATATTTCTACTGTTGTTTATGTATTTTTGAATATAAACTCTTTTTTCTTAAGGGTTCAAAAACTGTTTTCTATTCTGTTTTGGTTGTATTTTATGTTTTGTTTCTGCTTTGCTTTGGAAATAAAGATCAGTAGAAAGAGTTTTTAAGATTTTTTTTGGATAATTAGACTTTTGATAAATAATAATAAATTCTATTCAATTATATAATATTAATTATATATTTGATAAGACTGTTTTTGTAAAATTAGATATTAAAAAATCAACAATTCTAGGTTGTAATTAATTTGTTTGTTATATTAATTAAACAAGTTCAAAAGAAATTTTATTATAATAAAAATAAATTAATTATATGATTTATTAATGATGAGATGAGTACATAAGAGTAAAAACCTAGAAATAAAATTTAGCCTTTAGTAACATTATTATTGTTATTATATATTACTAAATTTATTAAAATACTGATTATTAGTTTTTTAAAAACTAAATATTTATTTCTAGATTTTCATTTTTATACACTTAAATTCTTATAAAATTACTATAACAAAGTTTTGTTTTTATAATTTTAAATTAATTTAACACTTGTTTAAACTTACATTTTCAGGTACTTGAAGTTTTACTTGACTAAAATTAGTATTATAATTAGATTTCTTATATATATTAATTAGTAATTTTAGAGAAGTATAAAGCCAGATGTCTGAAGTTGTAGTTTTAAGAAAAGGTATATTATTTTTATAATTATTTGAATGGTACTTGATATGTGAATAACTTAATATCTTAGTAAAATTTTATAAAAAACATTTTAATTAAACTGCAAAAGATGGGTTTTAATTAAAATTTTAAGTCAGAAAGAGGTTTTACTTATACTGCAACTAATATTGAAATTTAATTAGTTAGTAAAAAACATCATATAATAATTTATATATACATAATAATAATTATAAAAAATGTCAAAATATAATATAAAGAATTTTGCTAATTGAGATTATTCTCAAACATCTTAATTAATTGATTCAATAATATTCATAATAATATTTAAGCATCACAATTAATAATAATATTAATAAAATCAAACACTTGAATATACTCTTTTTCTATTTTCTTTAATCTTTATTATGCCATCTAAAACAACTAAAAAATCTAATAAAAAAATTTTTATACAACTAGTCTCCAAAGCTTTAACTTTGATTGTATTAGCTTTTTCTCTAAATAATTTTACCAATTTAAATTTTTTGTTGCAATAACAGCAGAATAAATTTATGAGATTATTAATAAAGTTGCTTTATAATAACAAGAGATAGATTTTTTTTCTTTTTTTTTTTATGAATATTAATATTATAAGAAATAAATAAAAATAATAACTAACAGACAAAAAAAGAACATAAAAACTATTTTTTTAAACTTTTTTGATAAAAATCAAGTTAACAAAAAGTAAAAATAAAAAGTTAACAGTTAATATTAATATATATTTATTATATATGAAAATGTTTTTAAAATAAGTTATAGTCTTTATTATCTGTTAACTATAAAAAAATATCTACTTAAAACCTATTAGTTTTGGGTCTTTCTTGTTAAAGAGCTTTTAAATTTAAATGAGCAAAAAATAGAATAATAGTATTTATTACAGTTTGGTTAAATATTAAAAGATATGTTGTATTTACTATATTTGTATCAAGGTATTGATTTATTTTATTATTAAAAATAAAATAATAATTTTTTTGAATCTGTTACAAATTTATTAAGAATTTAATGTTTATTAAAAAAAAAATAAAAATAGTATTTGAGCAATCTTTATCAATAGTAATTTTTTTTAAAAAAAAAATAATTTGTATCTCACTATTTTATTAAATCTTATTTGTTATAACTGAATTTCAATATAAATAGGTTTAGTATATCTAAAATTGACTATATTTTTTAAAAAATTTAAATCTCTTATATGCTAACTAGAATAATATATATATATATACATATATATACATATGTAAGATTAATTAAAATATTGAGTTTAAGACTCAAATATAATATTTATATTATATTATTCAAGTTTAATTTATTCTAAATTTAAACTTTTATAAAACAAGATTAAATAGAATCTTTACTATTTCTAGTATTCGAATACTTTATTTAAATATTATTACATGCTTTGTGCATAGTATTGTTGATCATATATATATAATGTTTAATTCTGATTGACTAATTGAATTACTTAGATATTTTCTATAAATACATATCTTCTTTAAATACATGTCTATTCTTGGTTTCAAAAACATGTACTTAGAAAAGTTTGACTATATTTTTCTTTTTCTTTTGTTTTTAATATTCTTAATCAGAGAACTGTTTTTGTTTTTATTTGTTTTCAGAATATTTTTCTAATTTAGATATTAAATATACAAAAGAATTTGCTAAACAAAAAACTTAATTTAAGTTAAGAATCACTTAAGTTTTATCTGTTTTTTGATATTTCATATGCTTGAACTTTGCTAGCAACAAGTTTACTTAATGTAAAATCAAGAATATTATCCATTTTGAAACCAGATTCTTTAATCTATTTTCAATACAAATTTGATCCAAGTAATTGTTAAAAAGAGTTGAATTAATATTAAACTAATTTTTAATTTATTTAATAATTAAAAACATTAATATTTTGTATTAACATTTCTTGCAAAATATATAAATTTTATAAATCACCTTCATATTACTAGTTTATATAATAGACAAGTTGTTTTGTTAATTGTAATCATGAAGAATAGGTTTTTACAAATACAGGACAGCTTAAATTGTTGATCTATTATATATATAAGCTAAACTTAACCGTTTAAACATACCTCTCATCTAACTTCTGAATTACTTCGTGAATTACTAAACTATTTTAATAGTATATAAAACGAAGACTCTATTTTTAATTTTTTTTGGTCTTAACCTTCTACGATTCGTACTCTCCACTTTTGTGTCTGCGAAACGTTACTCTAATATGTGAACATATTGTGTAACATTTCATCCGATCATCCAATCAAAATTAAAGCCGCAATGCTGATAAATTCAGCGATGGCAATTTGACAAAAATATTGAGTTGAATGTCATAAATAAATGTCATTTTTTGTCATAAAAAATATTATTTATTTGATTTTAATTATTGTTTTATAAATTTACATGTCATTTATTTGTCATAAAAAGTCATATTTGTCATTTTGCCATCACTGGATAAATTCAGATATGGATAAATTAACAGTTTATTGTAAATTGAAAAGCACAATAAATTTTTTTTTTATAAAATATATCGATATAATTTATTTTGAATTTTACAATATCTCAAAAACGGGACTAAGAAACAGGGTCAGATATATTAAGTAAAAATGTTCAGAACCCAAAAATCCGCCTCTAACTAAAATTTGAACCTTTATATCTGCTCAGGTTTACCATAAAAATTGCACTGACAAAAATTGTCACCACAGTTATTTGTAGTAAAAATAATTTATTTTTTAAACTGTATTCCAGGCAAATTTGCCTAAAAACCCAAAATTTTAAATAAAATTAATGACACATATTTATATAAAATATATTTATTTAAATTTATTAGGAAAATTTTCTATACAAATATTACAATAATAAAATTCTTTTGTATAACTTATAGTATGTATTATACATATTAAGAATAATAGTTGGATGTTAATAATTAATCTTTACAGAGTTTGCTAATAATTAATAATAAAAATTAAATTAATCTATGTACTTAAAATTAATCTTCATAGAGTTTGCTAAGAATTATTGAAATTGTATATGCGACGTTTATTAGAAGGAATTTTTTTACAAAAAAAAAGCGATAATGTTCAGATGTAATCTAAAGCTATATTATCTAAACTTCATTACAAAAAAAAAACAATAGGATCAAAATTTTCAACAAATTACTGATGCCCTAATATTGAATCAGCGTGAAATTCGTCTAATAATATTGAAATAATTCTACATTTTTGTTGAATAACATCCAATTGTTTATGAGTTACCCAAGAAAATTTATCTATAGTTTTTGAATATTCTATCTGAGCCGTTAAAACGTCTGGAACAAAATAACCTTGTTCACCAAAACTTAAACAAGTTGAGAGAACATCTTCAGAAATTTTATGTTTTTTTAACAACGATTTATGACTATTGAATAAAATAAAAGTATATTATTATTTAATTGAGAATAACAAATAATAATAATAATAATAATAATAATAATAATAGTGATAATAATAATAAAGTAATTACCTGACAATTCTTTTTTGGATGCAACCTTCACAAGAATATACTTGAAATTCCCAATACCTTTTTAATTTTCGTGGATCTTTTTCATCACAAAATTGACATTTCTTTGCCAAAGCAGCCAAATAAATATATTTTTGTTCTGACATATCTTTAAGTGGCTGTGATTTATATTGAGGAAAGTATAATCGACGAGAGTTGCGCCAAATTTGTTGAGTAATAGTAGAAGTTGACCATAAAAAGTTCCGAAGCTTTTTAGAAGTAGACGCAAGTGAATAAAGATCAACAGGTGATAGGTTTTCACAAATTTCAGCTAATACTTCATTAGGAAGTAAAGTTAAATAAGGAACTTTTTGTAATTGATGAAATTTTGAAAAGATCATTTTGTTATTATTTTTGTTAGATATTAATGTGAGAACAGTCATGCTTAAGAGGTTAAATGATGTTGATATAAGAATAATTTTCTGGAGGAGATCGAAATCTTTTTTTTAAAAGATAAAAATTAGATGATTAATGAAAGATCAAGATCAAATCGTAATAATTAATAAATATGGATTAGAAGTCTTACCCGAAAAAAGGACTTGTTGATATAAAGGACAATATATTACAATAATATTTGAAATAATCTAGAGTTATCAATTATATAGTTAGTATTAAAGGCACAAACCCTATTATCGCAAGCATTTCAGGACAAGAGTTGCAAATTACCAGTATGACATAAAAAGGTACGTATGACTATAGATTAATTTCAAAGCACTGGATGCATTGCATAGATTCTATTACTATTATAAAAAAATTTTTTAATCAAGGATAAAGAGTCAGAGGCCGGATGATCAATTTGGCCGATTGAGAACGAGAGGATTTTAGCAGGCATTTTTATAATGAAAATCTGTGTCAGGGGTGATAAATACGTTTTTTTTTTTAGTATAATTATGCATTTGAGCTTGCATTTGCAAACTACAAGCTTTCCTGCAGTTTATATTTACCTGTAGAATATGCAAAATATGGCACATATTGTTTGATGCCATTTAATACATTTAACATCATGTAATAAATAATGTCATATGATCGAATTTTGATTATGAATGTTTAACGAAAATGCCTCATGTGAAGGTTACTTTTTAAAAAAGCATCGTCAATTACACAATGCTAGAATGAAGTGGCCTCAGATCAATGTTTTTTATGTTGACGCAGTAACATGGATAGTATAGTTAATCTTCCGTCGAAATAAAAGTCTTTGACGGCATCAGGGTGACTTTAAAGCGTAAGAAAAATGCATGGTTTTGTAACATCCACAAACAAATAAAGACTTATTTGCTTATTACGCACATTTATTGCATCAATAGGCCCTAAATTTAAGTGTAAATCGTTAGCTTTAGGAAATTAAAAATTTCGCACCTATATTTATATTGTTATTATATAATTAGTTACTAATATGATGATGAAAATTTTATTTGTTCTCCAGACACAAATATGTGACCCTGGATTCCTAGTTAATTCAAAGAAATAAATGCACTGGTTCTTTGCTCGTTGTAAATATATGCATGTATGCCCATCTTTTGTATACGTACGTACGTAAATTGACCAATCTGGATGTTTTAAAATCCAAATTAGTTAGAATTATAATAAATCTTTTAACAATGTGCAATTATCGTTCATAATTTTGCAGAAACGTCCAAATTCATTTATTGCGTCTAAATCCTCGACGTCAAACATAGTTCGTCGATCGGAAAATCCGATGCTGGAATTGATCAATTTCTCTAAAATTTTACATACTAATAGGGCTGGGTAAATTTACATAACAGATAAGTTATTTAAGTTGGATTTTAAGTAACGCAAGTAACTTATATGTAACTTACATAAGTTAAAAATTTTTTTATTAATTATCATCCTAGAATAACGATAATAGCTTGTAATTTCGTTAATTTGTGTTCATTGATTATACCTTTACATTATCAAAAAATTAGTCTTAATGCTGGCCAAATTTATCATAATTCTGGCCAGCATTAAATCTATAGTAACTTACATTGGAGTCATATAACTTACATTATAAGTTACAATGTAAGCTACATTGTCAAGTAAGTTATCCCAGCCTCTTGCATTGCTAAATGCCGGTCTAAATCCAATGAATCTGACCCGAAAATTTGGTGATCCCCCCGTAAAAAATATAGCACACTCATTACAGCTATCGCTATTATCATAATTTCTTGCTCATTACCCGAAATCTTTTTGATTGTACCTAACTCTCCGGAAATTACATCGCTGTCTTCGGACCTTCAGTCCGGAGGCGGTGATGTAATTTCCGAGAGTTAGGTAATTTACCGAACGACCAAAAAGATTTCGGGTAATGAGCAAGAAATTATGATAATAGCTGTAACGGTAAGTAAAGCTACCCAGCTGATAATTTTGTCCCAGAAATGGATGACTTGTATTGCTAAATACCGGCCTAAATCCGATGGAAATTTTGGGATCCTCCTGTAAAAATTCATTCTTGCAACGAATCTTTTTATAATGATAATGAACTTTTTTTATTAGAGTTCGGTATCGGAAAATAGTAACTAATTCTATAAGGAACTTTTAAAATTTTTTACTATAATTGCAGTTCATTATACGAAAGTTAACTTTCACATTCGTTATTCATATGTCGACAAAAAATAAGAGTGGCTCATGTGTAAAAAATACGATAAACAAACGATTACAACATGTTCACGCTATACAGTAGTGAAGTTTCCACTACAACTTATAGCGAGAAAATACTAGACTCGAAAATACTATATAATTAATTCAAAATTCTTTATTATATCAAGAGCCCACTATAACAAAGGTGAGCTATATTTGGGCAGACTGGTTCTTCTCATTATTTAACTTGTTAGTTCGGTTCATTAATGAAGACAGATTCACAACAACAAAAGCTTACTATAACGGGTTTCCTTGGATATAACGAGCTTTGAAATTTTTAAATTTATATTATTGAGTTTGTAATGCGTAGATTTTGTATACTTGATATGTTTTCTGTTCGAGGTTATTATTGATTAATCAAGTTTCTCTTTAGAATCAGGCCTACCGAATAATTGATTATGAAGACAATTAATTGCAATTACTTGAACCCAATTAACTGATTAAGCCACGACAATTTGATTCTTTGTTTAACATAACCCCTCTAATTTGTAAAATTTATATATATATGAAAAAACATAATATTAATCAATCAAATTGCAACATTGGTTTTTTAAATGTTTGTTTTTTTACAGCCAGTAGAATTGCAGTGTTCTTTATTTTATTTATTCCCCCTCTCTATAAACTTTGCAGTTATTTGAAAAATATAACAACTTGATAAAATATATAATAATAAACATAGGTATGAGTATATTGGCTATCAACACTTGCAGTTTAAAAAAAAAAAAGCAAATAATCACTTTTTGAATGTGTAAACCACAAGAATATTAATTTGTATTCATTTACAAAGATGTGTATATAGTATAGCATTCTCGGTTCTAATAAATGCCCAAAGTTCCAAACAAATGTCACATAAGATGCTTACCTACAAATGACAACTCATACAGGAGGATCCCCAAAATTCCGGGTCGGAATACCTCGGATTTAGCCCGGCATTTAGTTAGCATTTAGTAATACAAGTTAACCACTTTGGGCCAAAATTATCAGCTGGGCAGCTTTACTTAATGAGTGAGCTATGGTTTCATTAGTAAAACTTTTAGTGATCTTGGGCAAAATTAGTTAATTCCGGCCCTGCCGATCATGGTTCCGATGGATTCCGACCCGGAATTTTGGGGATCCCCCTGTATGAGTTACAAATGACGGCAGACATTAGTGTAATTTATGTTCTTCCAGATCAGTCGATAATCAAAAAGATGCTTTTTTTAGACATTCAAATGATGGCAGGCATTAGTGTAATTTATATTCTTCCAAATCATAGTCGATAATCAAAAAGATGCCTTAAAATGATGGCAGGCATTAGTGTAATTTATGTTCTTCCAGATCATAAATTAATTATACACACTATTAATTAAATTACATATGGACAATCAGTGTTCTATTCATAATACCCCGATCGATATATCAAAATCACGGGGTACCTATATTATGTTAGTAATTATAAATTTGTTATTGTAGAGAATACGTAATAAAATATATAAGCAATATAGCTTGTAATAAGAACGTATGTTTATTTATAATTATATATTATAAAATGCACCTATTGTGTTTATGGTTTTTTGCTAAAATTTAGGGTTAGGGTGAAGCTACAAGGTAATATAGGTGTTAGATATAAAAAATGTTTATATTTTAGTTAGCATAAGGTTTTTGGGTTCTGAATATTTTTACTTAGTACCCTAAGGTGTGTTAACTATAGTCAAGTTATCTAATCACTTTATAGTGCTGAATTTTGAAATATATATATAAATATATATAATAGTACTAAATCTTAAGAATAGAAAACAGTATTTTAAAATTATATATAAACCTAATGGTAAATTTTTTTTATATTTAATTTTATAGAAAATTATATTAAGTAAACTAATTTTAATTATTAATTAAAAATTATAGAATAGATCTTTTTAATTCTAATGATAGTAAAATTATTAAAATAGGCTAAAAACTCATTGAGATATAAAATTTTAAAGATTAGGATATAAAATTATAAAATAAAATTAACTAATAGGTTTATATAAATTAACTAATTAAATTCTTTA